AAATCAGCCCATGGGGCATATCTAATCTATTAAACTCTGTAAACTCACTTAATATCCCATGTTTGATTCTCAAAAATATCACACTTAGGAAAGCAGCTGTCATCTCCAGTTCTCCTCTAGCACCGTAACACAATGTAAAGTTGTCAAGATGTACTTCTTGAGTCGGGTCCCACCTTTATCGCTCATCAACTGATGCATTTGGAGCTTCTTCAGAAACCCGGGACCAACCTGGGTGTCTTCTCCTCTCTGCAGGCTTCCTCCAGCGCACTTCATGGATGGAAAGTCGACAATCAACTTGTAACCTACTGGTTTTTCGGTCCAGGACCTGAGGATCTTACAGGTGCTAATAACTCAATCCAGGGTGTCAACCAAAGAGCTGACTCCTTAGGGCTGAGACCAGCAGCCATCATGTTTATTAAGTGCAAACACTTGGAAATAGCACACAATAGCCCAAACTGTGTGAGCCCAACTAGCAGTGATCACAAAATCTGTACCCATCGTTGGCTTACTCAGAGAGATGAAATACGGAGAGAATAAAAGCCAAACTTCTCGGGCTCCCAGGAAATGTCTGTACAATGCATGACTCCATGAATGAAAAAATACAAAATTGCTTCAAACAAACTGACTTGACAATGACGAGGAGGGAAGCTACAGAGTTTGTATTTCCTGAGGAAAGGAGCGGGTGAGCATTTTCCTACAAGGACTCTTGATAACATGGGCTGCATCTTTAATCCTTTCCTTTCAGGGCTTGGTTGGCTCCTAGATCAGCTTTCTACCCTCGAAAAGCAGAAAATAAGAAAATTCACTCTTAAAAGAACCAAAGAATGTGTGGAGTATGCATGAGAGGCACAAGGGTGCAGAACGCCTTCAGTGGCAAGACAGGCAAAGAGATCCAGGGATGGGAAAACAGTTGTTACTAGGCAACAAAGAACATGCGATTAATTCCAGCAGCATCCAGTGCATCTCCCAGCAGAAAACTGTCTTAAAATGTCTTTCAAAAGTCCATCCTCTAGATAGGCGTGGTGCTCAATTCATCTTGTCATTTACATCTTGCAATATACATACACACACACATATATCCCTAATATTATACTATGGCATCTTTAAAGAATATCTAATTTGGCAATTCCATGTAATACACAATGTTAGTCGTTGTTCTTAAAAGATTATAAACTCATGTTATATTTTGATTTTTACTGGAAAGGCAGATTTACAGAGAGGAGATACACAGAGAGAGAAATATCATATGCCTGCTGATTCACTCTCCAAGTGGCCACAACACCCAGAGCTGAGCTGATTCAAAGTCAGGAGCCAGGAGCTTCTTCCAGGTCTCCCACGCGGGTACAGAGACCCAAGGCGTTGGGTCATCCTCAAGTGCTTTCCCAGGTCACAGGCAGGGAGCTGGATGGGAAGTGAAGCAGCTGGGACACGAACCAGTGCCCATATGCAATCCAGGAACATGCAAGGAGAGGACTTTTGTCACTGGGTTACTGCGCTGGGCCTCTCATGCTATTTTTATCACCACAACAATCCTAGGTATGGGCAGGTGTTCAGCCACAGGGTGGGATGCCCGAATCTTTTATTAGAGTACCTGTATCAGAGTCCTGGCTTCTTTCTGATGTGCCCGCTGAAGGCCAGCAGGCAATGGCTCAAGGAGTTAGGGTGCTGCCATCCCTGGCCACACTCAGCTTTGACCACCGAGAATATGTGGAGATTAAAACATTATATGGAATCCCATCTCTCTCTCTGTATCTCTCTTTCACTAACACTCCAATTCCTAAAATATAAGGATTTAAAAAAAATCACATACTTAATGGTCAAAGGCACAAACAAGGATTAACAAGTGCTAGTAAGACTGCGCAGCCACATGAATCTCTCATTGTTGGGGAGTCTGAAAACATGGTGCAACAGCAATGAAACAAAGTTTAGAGATTTCCTACAAAATTGAATATACTTCCGTTACCCAGCAACTGGACTTTCACGTTATGTATCCAGATCAGCTCATCACGTATGTCCACACAGCAAGCTGCACATGAAAATGCACAGCATTTTGGCACCTAAAACTGCCAAAAATTATACTTCACGAGAACAAATAAACATACTATGCTGCATCTGTAAAATGAAATAATTTAGTGGTATATCAAAACCAGCCTTTAAGTTATCACACTCTAAAAAGGCAAAGAGGGCGGCTGGTATTGTGGCACAGCCGGTTAAGCCACATGCTCCAGCGATGGAAACCCATTTGGGTGCCAGTTTGCATCCCAACTACTTCAATTCCAATCCAGTTCCCTGCTAATGGCCTGAGGAAAGCGACAGGAGATGGTCCAAGGATTTGGGCCCTGGCCACCATAGTGGGAGAACTAGGTCTAACTTTAGTCTAGCCCAGCACTGGCCACTGCAACCATCTGGAAAGGGAACGAGTGACCGGAAGATCTCTAAGTAATTCTTACTTTCAAAGCATATCAAGACATCTTTGAAAAAGAGGAAACCTGAGAGTACATTCTCAAAGGACAAAGAAAACCCTAAAGGTTCTAGACTGTATGATTCCAATTACAGGACGTTCTCAAAAAAGTAAGACTGTAGAGAGTACAGAAAGCAGCACTGGTGAAAGATCGGGGGTGGGGACCGGGGAAAAGCACGCACAGAGGCAGAAGGGGGAATTTCAGGTCACCACAACTGCTCCGTGTGACATTCTAACAGCAGTTACATGACGTGTGTGTTGCAAACAGCACAGAACTGCACAACATGGTGAGTAAACCTTAACTATGGATGTTCAGCTACTCACAATGTGGCAATATTGGCTCAGCAAATCAAACATTTGTCTTATCAATTCAGGAAGGAAATAATAGGGAGATTGTAGCCGGGGAGATATCGAAATTGCGCTATCAAGTTTTCAGAAAATCCAAAACCAGGTGATAGATTTTAAACAACTCCCAAAACAATAAAATCAGAAAGTTCCAATGCTGGAAGCGGAATAAACCTATGAGGAACACATCTGTCACAGCTGTATCACGGAACTTCAGGCTCCTTCAGTGTCCAGCTACATTCCAAGAAATGTTTCACTAACATTCTGCCTTGTACAACTAAACTTGCCTTTCTCCAGGATTTTTTTTTCTTTTTCAACTCTACTTTCAAACAAGAGATTCACATTAGATTGCTAAATCTTTCAATTTATTAATATGCGATACAGTTTGGTTTTCAAAAACCTTCATGAAGACTTTGCCAGGAGTCTATTGCTGTGTAACCGAACACAGACGCTGTTCTCTCAGTCTAAGAGATGACCACATTGGGCTGTTGCAAGCTCGGTGTGGCATCTGCTGAATTTCAATGCATGCAGGATCCAGATGTAGACTGTTTGGGACAAGAAGCTGTGAGATTTTGTGGATGGGGCCTGCTCATCTGCATTTCTAATAAGCTTGTAGTTTATGCCAACACCTAAGCACATCTTGGGAAGCAAATTCCCAAGGAACAGCCACGTCACAAAACTGCTAACCATGGGAAAAATAAAGCAACATGTAGCCATCCTTGAGGAACAAAGGAGCTGCTGTTCTATACCTGAAGAAACTCCCGGGGTGGGGGTACGCGAGGCCTGCGTCCCCAGTGCCTGGTCCTCTCTACTTCCATCCACAGACAGGGATGACATCTGTACAGGGCGGGGTCTCCACAAGACCTGCTTCTCTAATGCCTGGTCCTCTCTACTTCCATCCACAGAAACCAGGCCTGATGACCCCTGGACAGCAAGCAAGCAGTGTAGGTGGTAGTGATTTTCTCTCAGGTCCTTAAGGTCAACCATTTCTAGTGCAGTTCAACAACCTGCAAGTGCTAACTGACAGCAAGGGCAGTGACGACTTCAAGGTCACATATTCACCAACTGTAAAGGTCGGATCACGGGATTCGGCGACTTCTTAACAGCCAAGATTCTGAGCTCCCGTCTTGGGCAACCCCCCCCCCCCAACTGTGTGACGTATTTCCTGTGGGGCGATCCAGTCGCAGAATTCAGGACTCAGCCTAAGGAGAGAACGGCCGGCCTTTCCTGTCTCAGTTGGCCATCTGAGCTCACACAATCACAGGCACTGTAGCTGCCTGCTGGAAGGGGTACCCACACCATAACAGGTTTCCACAGAAATTCTACAAGCTTCTGGAAGAGCAAAGCTCCAGGGAAGTTCTGGATCCTCCCCAAATCTCAGAGCCAAGAAGCAGGGCAGGCTTCCTGCTGGTGACTGGCAGTGTGGCCAGTCTGCCTGCTCGCATCCAGGCTGGCATCCACGGTCCCTTGGGAACTAGTATTCCTTCCCTGTGATCAGAGGTTTCTCCCTGCTTGGCCACTCAGCTCGCTGTGGTGGCCGTGAGACTAGGTCCTGCCACTGTAGAGTCCACGGTGGCCTCCCCCTGGCTGGAGCCCCACAGCAGGTAAAGGGCCAGGCCGCCCACCGAGCCTTTGAATTGAATCCTGCTTCCAGGAGGAGATGGTCACAGTGGACCCAGTGTGTGTCCCATCCCAGGAGGACAGACGACGGCACATATTACAGAGCTCTCCAGGACTGTTTCCCTAAACAGTGAGAAGCCAGGGAGAAGGGGCACAGCGGAGCTGGCTTGCATTCAGGGGAGGTCTCCTTGCTAGTTACCATCATCCCTAAGAAGGATTTTTGGGAAGCTTGAAAAATAAATGATATGATGGGAGCGTGGGGAGCGTGGGGAGCGTGGGGAGAGGGGGAGAGAGAGAGAGAGAGAGAGAATATCAGTTGAACACAAGGAGCGACACTATGCAAGCACAGCTGTGCAGTAATGAGAAGGCCCCATCGACCGGGAGATTCCCACTCCCCATGCTGCTGAGCGGCTGAAACCTGCTCCGGAGGCCTCCGCGGGGACACGCTGTGTTCAGTCAGGGAGGAGCCACGTTAGCCTCATGCCAGGGCTCCTGTCTGCCCTGGGATTCTGTGATAATGGCTTGAGCACTGTATGATCGATCACGAACTGCACAATGGCTGTGTGTAACTTACTGTGCTGGCAGTGGATCCCCTTGAAGCCCCTGGGGCATCTGCACACGTAGCCTATGAACGTGTCTCCTCTGTAGGCCTCGCTGATTTCGCAGGTTCCTCCGTTATGGCACGGGTTCGGGGTGCAGGGGCCTGGAAGGCACAAGAGAAGGCATTGCAAGGTGACACATAAGCTGAAGAGACCCCCCCCCTCCGCGAGGTCGACGTTCTCTAAGTCACAACGTCACTGGGGAAGGCTTTCTGGCTGCAGGTGGTACAGGAAACCGGAGGGCTGGGTGAGCACTCAACACCCAAGGCCTGTGTGTGAATCCTGCTGAGTTTCTACCTGTGTGATGACGGAGCATTTAATTCTCCCATGGCCTCATTCATTGTGTTCTTCTGTTAAACAGCAATATTAAGTGTATTGCAAGGGGTTGTAATACTAATGAAAAAGAGTGTATGCATCGAGGATACACGGAATAGTGTCCCCAAAACAGTCACATTCAGTTAAACAGAGGTATCAAGGGTTCTGATTTGGAGACAATCTTCTACATGCTAAAGCATAAACTTCAGTGGTAATTTCTGGAGCTGTATACATGGAAAGGAATTTTTTTAATTGTTTTAAAAATTATTTAATGGAAACACATAGTTTTATATACATACGAGAGAGAGAGAGAGATTTTCCACCCACTGCCTCACTCTCCAGATGGCCACAGCCCCAGAGCTGGGCCACAATAAAGCTTGGCTCCAAGAGCTTCATCCAGTTCTCCCATGTGGATGGCAGCCTGGAACTCCAAGTTTCCCCGTGTGGTTGGCAGGAACCCAAGTGCTTTAGGCATACCCAGCTTCTCCATTTCCCATCCAGCTCCTTGTTTATGGCCTGGGAAGGCATCAGAGTGCAGCTCAAGTCCTTGGGTCTCTGTACGCTCAAGTCTGTGAACCACATCAACCCCTGAGCAATGGCTTGGCATATTGAGGGAAAGGGGCTCATTGTGGCTAGAACTGCTGCCCTGGGTGCTCAAAGAACAGGCCTGCAGTGAACACCTGCAGACAGAGCTGATGGGCCGACTGCCTTAGGTCCCAGGCACGCCCAACACTCCCCTGCGGCACAGGAAAGCCTGTCCAGTGATGCTGGTGCAAGCTCTGGGACTCCCCCAGGAGGCCAGTCTGTGAGTTACAGCTCTGTTTATTTATAGCTTTGAGGATAGCAAGGCCTCAAAAGACAGGCAATTTTAGAAAAAGATTAGCTGCTTCTTCCACTCTAAGAAATCCAGCGGTTTTTCCTTTGAAGGATGAAGATGAAGTAAAGTAAAAGAAACACAGAGTTCACCTTTCCAGAGTCCCTTATCTGCTGAGGAACATTAAGCAAACGCGTTATTTACAATGACGCTAACAGTGAGGCAAGACAACAGGTGCAGAGTGCTCTCGTACCACGACTAGCTACTGGGGCAAAAACCTGACTCTCCTCTGCCTGACCATAAATGCCGTGTCCTCTCCAGGGAGACAAGGACCATGTGTCCACTAATATGTTAGTCTTCACAATGTAGACGGTGTGGGTTGGGACGCAACCAGCATATTCCTGTACGTAGCAACGCAGGGGAAACCTTTCAGAGGATTTTCAGCAACCGAATCAAGGTATATGAGCATCATGTGTTACATACAGAGATGGCTTCTCCAGTGCCACCATCACCCTGCTCTATCTGAGCTGACTGAAGACAAGTGTCAAATGCTGAGCACCTACCCAGGATTATTTTGTGACAAGTGCACCAGGCTACTGGTGTTTTTTCTTTGTTTGTTTGTTTGTTGTTTTCTACCTTGTACATGTTCTCCTGGAGTACTGCTGACAGAGCTGAAATGAGTGGCTCCCTGCCCTGCACCGTGTTCTGTGTGGGAAGAGTCTGGGTGGGCAGGTGGGCAGGGTGTTGGAGCATGCACACTACGTAAGCGTATGTCAACCGAGAGCTGTGACAATCACACCTATGAGCTCAGCCCTGTTCCAAGGGAGGGATGGAGAGCATTCATCTGTTTGGTCTTTAGGTCAACAGTTACTTCACATACTTTCTGTAACTTTTCTATACTTTTCAAGCTGCAAGTCCTTCAAATTTGTAATTAGGTTCTAACACTTTTTTTGTGTGTCTAGTATGGCTTAAGCTTCCAACATATTACATTGAATTGTAAATATCAGACTATTATAATGTGTACTCTTGCATAATGATTACATGTCCCTTAATTCTCTTGGCAAATACATCATTAAGAAAAATGTAACTTCACATAATCTCATTAACAATGTTAATCTCCCAATTTGAAAATCCCATTATAAAGACATTCGTTTTAAGCGTGAACCAGATGAAATAATCAAATATGTTAGTACACAAAAATAACATAATAAATGAAAACCAAGGTTTCAGCTTGGAAAATTTGCCTGCACGTTTTGTGTCTGGCATTCACAGGCAGTGATTCAAGCAGCCTGCAACACATTCTAGGTCCTGCTGGGCGTGCGAGGATACGCCAGATGAGACCTGGGATCTAGGAATCCTTTGCTTGCCCTTGCTCCCTCTCTTCTATTTTCCTACTAAGAGTGAAAACTATTTTAAGGTCTTGGCACAATGATAAATAATCATCATCACTGCCTACAGATAATGTTGTTTCCTCTATGAGGATTAAACAAACAAACAAAAAAACCACCTGACCCTCCAGCCCACTACCACCACCCTCAGGTGAAATCCCCTGTTATCACCTCTAATATTGCAGGAACTCTGTCAGTGATCTGATAAATGCTTTCAATGGAAGTAGAATTGGCAGCATCTAGAAAAGTAAGCAGACATCCTAAGAATGCACTTGGCTGCACTTGGTAGGAATACAGTTTCTTATACAATGGGAGTTAACTGTAGGACTCCCACTGGCATGTTACAACGTAGGTTTAATAGGCCCAGTTCTTTAGCAGTCAAACCTTTGGGTATATCTGAGACAGCTCATACCCTTTCTGAAACAAGTAGGCACCAATTAATAGACAACTGACTGAGAACTCTGAAAACTCTCAGGAGTCGAGCAAAATGTGTAATCAATTAGCATCGCTGAATGCCACTTACAATCTCCAAAAACAAGAGGCAGACAGACAGTGATATCAACTGCTGTCCATTAGAAAACTGTCTCAGAGATCACCACTGTGGCAGAGAGAGTAAAGCAGCCGGCATCTCCAACGGGCTCCAGCGCATGTCCAGGCCACTCTACTTTCTGCCACTGGCCTGGGAAAGCAGAGGGAGATGGCCCAAGGCCTTGGGCTTCAGCAGCCATGTGGGAGATCTAGAAGAAGCTCCTGGTTCCTGGCGTTAGATTAGCTCAGCTCCAGCCACTGTGGCAATGGATTTGGTCAACAGATGGAAGATGGACCCTTGTCTCTTCCCTCTATCTGTAACTGTACCTTTCAAATAAACAGCTAATTTAACAGAAAGAAACAAACATCGTCTCCACTAAGCATAGAAGACGCACAAGGGGTGGTGACTAGCCATGCTGGTTCTGGTGAACATTCATATGAGTCCAAACGATCTGAGTAGGAACTACTTGGCAATGTCACACCGCACAAGGAAGGTGCGAGCAGACTTTTAAGAGATACCAGAGGCTTCTGGGAGATTTCAAGATTGATAACACCGTAATACTGTTTGTAGGTAATCTTAGGTAGCTCCCAACACAATGGGAACAGCATATGATCAATATTAATGAACAGCTGAATTCAGCAGCATGCTTTCTGGGCATTTTTATGCAAGCTCATATAAGTTATGTCAACGAGATTAATTGTTTGCAAAAGGAATAGATCTATAAGGGTGTCCTGCGTTCTGCATCAACTTCATCGCGCCTGCAACAGTGAGAGCTCGAGTCATTCCCACCTGTGTTGCACCTAGCTTCCCAGACCTCCGGAGGCTATGCCCCAAATCATGAGAACGCGTGAGCATAACAAGTGTAAGCTTATTACAAAGCACATAAGTTAATACTCCCCACTGATGCGGTGTACCAGGACCTGGCCAGGTTTATAAATTATGCTCCCAGAACACGGGCGGTTACATATTAAAAATGAATATACACTTCAGCGTATGGTATAAAGAACCCCCAGGAAAGCAGTTGCTGGAGCCTAGCTTCACGAGTTGTCCTAGCAGGACACGAAGAGCAGCTGTAACTCCAAATTCTGCACCCGAAACCACACTGACTTGCTGCCTGCATTTACAAGGTTTGAACATTCTGCCAGTTGCCATTGCGAGCCATTCCCAGCTTATTTTCGAACTGGCTGGGAGTGAAAAAAATGTGGTCTATGTGACTGACGATCTGACGTGACCCCCCTATCTTGTCTCTGCTCCCCTCCACCTGGCCTTCAGCATCCTTTGTATTTCTTCCTGCCTTGTACAGAAACAGAATTCAGCCATGGGAGGGAAGGAAAAAAGAAAAAACAAAACAAACTGCTGACGACTTTTCTATTTGCAGAGAGAGGAACATCATTCTACGGCAGAATCTGAAACCACCATGTTGTAGGGGAGAATCTACAAGTTGAGAACAGTCTTTCTGGGAACATGAAAGCATCTGGATTGAGTGTGAGCATCGGAATGGAGGACTGATCAGAATTCTTGCCCCCAGATCCTGCTGACCACCCTTCTCAAGAGGGAGGGCTGGGCTCTCTCCAACCACAAGACCTGAGAAAGGTTCTCACCCGGCCAGAGGTATCAAGTGGGATTCGAACCTGAGGTTAGTTCCCTGGGAGGCCATGGTGACACACTGCCACAAGACGGGCTATGTCAAGTAAGAGAGATCTGGAGAAGCTCGCTGAGGCATAGTGGGGTCACAGCACAGATCGCAGTGCCACATGAGTTTTTATGGGACTGGAGAGCAAGGGAGTGGCCTACATTTGGAGGAGTGACAGGGAAGGATCCAGAAGTGGCTGTGTGGGTGGCATCAGGAGGATGTGGCATTGCCAGACAGAAGGAGATCTGAAGAATGAATGAGGACACACAGGGGCTGATCCTAACACACTACTGCTTCTTAGACTGGACCGGCTGACAGGATGTCAGTAACTTTCTGAACAGGACTTCACAGGTCGCAGTTGCATGAATTCACACAATCACCATGACAGAGGATTTGATGTCTTTGTTTCAACCCAGTGAAAACGT